GCTCAACCGAAGTACGAATCTATTCGGTGTCCCCGTCTGTCACCTGGTCAGTCATGCTGCTTGCCCACGGTGCGGCCGATGCTTCCGCTCAAGGGTTGGGCTCGCATCCCACCAGCGTGCAGGATGATGCTGCTGCTGCTGTAAATCTCTGTTCTCCGCAGTCATCATCGTTCGCGATGGACAGCCGAAGAAAGAATAAGTCATAATAAATAGGCATCCGCCTGTTCCACCACCAAATACAACATAAATAAATACAACTCCTTAATCCATCAGCTTTCTGGACGAATAGTTTCCAAGCGGAAAAAATCGTGGCCTGGATTCGTCTGTACTCTTAGGTTTTTTTCGGTAAAGTCACGTAGGTAAAAATAAATCATAAAAATAAATAATAAAAATAATAACAGAAATTAAATAATAAATCACGACGTTTCGGAGGCAACACAAGTCTCCGTCATCAGATGGGACCGTCACAGCTGAATTTACTGTATCTTAAAACTGTATCTTAATACAGTAAATTCAGCTGTGATGGTCCCTACCTGATGACGGAGACTTGTGTTGCCTCCGAAACGTCGTGATTTATTATTTTATTTCTATTATTATTTCTATTATTTTTTATTTATATTATTTATTTTTACCTACGTGACATTACCGAAAAAACCTAAGAGTATGAATCATTGCAGTCACGAAAGCTTCAAATCTAGAATGGATTCGTCTGTTCGGGTCTCAGCATCAGCAGCAGCAGGCTGCGACCATTTATGTACGAATTGTATTTTTTGCGGGCAATGCATTGGTTTCACAGGGTCAGTTCGCTCACAAACTCTTGCTGTTGGGATCAGTGGCGCAGCGTGCCCAGCATGGGCCCCGTTGCAAGGGATGTGGGGGGGGGGGGGTCTGTCCAATTTTCGGGCACCCCTCCTCATAGGCCGGCCTCTTGGCCTCCCGGCCTCCCGAGCCTATATGGACGATGCAGTTTCACAGGGCGCCACGGTGGCTATGAGATGTTAACTACCTCGCCTGGTATGCAGGAGGTCCGTGGGGTCGATCCCGACCCTGACGCCTGCTGTATATTTGGAGTTTGCATGTCTCTCTCCACGTGGTCGCGTGGATTTGTCTCGGGGTCCTCCGGTTTTTCCCCTTCCACATTTATAAACGTGCGTTTAGAGTATGTGGCTGCGATAAATGTCCACGTGCCGAAGCCACTTCGTTGAGCTGTAACTTGTGATGGCCAGCTCGCTCCTGAAAACGAGCTACACAGCTAAGTGGGCGTTGCCTGGTTAAATAAATAAATACAAGTTTATAGTTTAACAGCAGACACACTCCTCGATCGCTACTCCCCTGCTTTTAGGGCTCCAGTCCTAGACATCCTGTCCCGTGATCGTCACCATCTCACTCGCGTGCAGTGTAAAGGATGTTGTAGTAGTGGCAGCGTTTAATTTTACAGAACATGTGCTGTGTGGCAGCGTTTCATTTCACCCGTCCGGGCTGTTATTCGTGGCTGTCAATATAACACGTTGGGTTTAAAAAGACCCCACAGCGTGTCCATATTGTTTCATCCTTTATTGAAGAATTGTAATTATACAGCTGTTTGAACTGCTGATATGTTGATAACGTATTGCTCATATGCTTCGGTTTTTATTATTTTATTTAAACCAAAGACCTTGATTATTCTTCACCACCTGTACGCTCCATAGCTCTGACCACCGAACGTGATAACATATTTTAAAAGATGAATCACACATTTGGGGTGGCTGGCGGTCAGAGCAGTGAGGCAGGACAGATGGGATCTCGGGTTCTGACTCTGGGTTTCAGGCCGCTCGTGATTGCACAGGCTTCTCAAGCGGAGCCAGTTGATGGCATGAGCCTGGTCACCAGTAACTGCACACACACACACACAACTATGAAGACAAAGATACACCCCACCCCCACATACCCTCGACAGATTGTTGGAGCAAGTGCTGGGGCAAGAGCACGTATGAAGACCGGCACGGCACACGAGGGGGTGGGTGGACAGCACCTCCCCCGGCCGCCTTTGTCTCCCAAGTGGCGATGTTTACACCGCGCCAAGTACTCATATGAAGCTGAGTCGACCTGGGGAGGCATCTGGTGTTGGTCTTGACCAGAAATTGAACTCGAGTCGCCGGGTCAATAGCGCAGTGCGCTAACCGCTACACTACCGCTCCCCACACATACACACAAACATCAAATGACATGTATAGCTTCACTTAAATTTGCCTTACATTCCAAACTGTGGCAATTCAGAATCTTGCCATGCAATAACCTGCTGAATGAGGCCCTCCATCCCGTGCCGTGCAGGTCGTGGGAGGTTAACTGACCATACTTCACCACGCTGGTGAGCGCGGGTTGACGAAGGCGGGGGATCTGTTTGTGCAGTACAACAATGGATGTCGCTTGCACTTCCCCGTACTACCCAACCCAGCCTATGGGCTCATTACCCCCCCCCCCCTACTCACACGTGCTGGAAACACAACCGAGGACAAATCCCAGGCTCAACGCCCGCTTAGCTTCCGAAGATCGATCGCAGTCTGGCACCTGCTAATCGCTCACGTTACAGCCTTCAATGCCTAACCGCTGTGCATGGAGGGATTCTTGTAGACGGCAGGTGATGTGCAAAGTACACCTGGGCTGCCGTGACGTGGCATCGCATCGCCACACGCTTCACGACGGCACGCGCTCGTAAACGCAGCCGCGCGGTCACGCCGTGTGTGTCAAGGCACGCGTCCGTCCGCCTGCTGCTGCTGATGATGGTGATAATAGTAATGGTGCTGCTGCTGCTGATGGTGATGATAGTGATGGTGATGCTTTTGATGATGATGGTGCTGATAATGGCGGTGGTGATTATGATGATATCTTCTATTTATAGAGCGCTTTTAGCCAAGGCGCTTTGCAAGGGTTTATGAGTGGTACAATTATGGTGACTAAAAGCGATACGGTGAATAGTGATGGGGTATAGGGAGGGCGGTTTAGTGAGTACCGGAATGACGGTGGGTGCCGAGGGATGGAGGGAAGAGGATGGACCAGGGAGAAGAGGCGGGGGTCCCGAGGGAGGAGCGGAAACTCTACAGGGAGGGTGCTCGCTGCTTCATGTGCGGGGGAAGCTTGCTCCAGTGATGATGATGATGATGATTCTGATGATGATCGTGCTACTGTTGGTTATGATGATTGGTGATGATTTTGATGATGATGATGATGATGGCGGTGATGATGATGGCGATGATGCTAATGATGGTGCTGCTGCTTGATGATTCAGATGTACAAAATAAACATAATTTTTTTCTAAAATATATAGTGTTTCAAAAAATAATGCTGTTTATGGTGGTGATGTTTATGATGCTGCTGATGAAGGTGATGCTCATGGTTTTGTGATGATGATGATTGTAGTGATTACGACTGGCTGTAACCCTCATAACGACGTGTCCTTCATTTTCTGAACAGGCAATATTAAATTTCGATTTAAAGCTTTCGTGACTACAGGTATTCATATTCTTGGTTCTTTCGGTAAAGTCACGTAGAAGGGAAATAATACAATAATAAAAATAAAACAATAGAATTCTCACAACGTTTCGATTGCAACACAAGCAATCATCATCAGGTGTGAAAACCACGGCAAGAAATTTAAAAAAAAACGCCACTTTTTTCTTTTCTTGCTGTGGTTTTCACACCTTATTATTGCTTGTGTTGCAATCGAAACGTCGTGAGAATTTAATTGTTTTATTTTTATTATTTTTATTATTTCCCTTCTACGTGACTTTACCGTAAGAACCAAGAATAGGCAATATTATGTTAGAGTATTCTTTGGCTCTTTCGCTAATGTCACGTAGATAGAAACATAATAATAGTAATCAAAATTTGAATTAAAAAATATAATGAAAATAAGAAAAAACATTAGTGCTTTTCGTTTTTCATTAATTTTATTTTTATGATTTTTTATTTCACTTTGTTTTTCTTTTTATATCTACGTGAAATTACTGGAAGAACCAAAGAATATGAATTCCTGCAGTCACGAAGGTTTTGAGTCAAAATTATGTTAGAGTATTTTGAGAACGCCGAATTCGATAAAGGTGTCTCCACCACCCAGCATCACATTTCCACGAGCACATTCTGGAACAGACTAATGAATATTAAATTCCATTAATCTTCGTTGACTATGAAAACATGTATTCGACTCGGTGGAAATGCCAATGACACTGTGTGTGGCCATAAAATAAAAAAAACACACATAGGTGACGTTTCGGACAAAGGCCCTCTTTCATGACAGATGCAGCCATCCAACAGCTCACAAAGCAACACTTGAGCAGAACGTGCCTATAAAATGAATCTAGATCTCACAAGAGCGGAAGAGCTCCACCGACACCGTGGCATTTTAAGGGCACAAGAATTGCTGCAGTCATCTGTTGTCGGTAATGAGTAATTGCGCGTTTAATGGGTCACTAAACGAGTTGGGGGGAAGACTGGGAAATCGACTTGCAAATCATTTCTCGATCATCTTTATCGGCATACGAAACACGAAATGAGGCGCATCACATTTCATCCTTTGTTCACATGGGGAGGGCGGGGGGCTAATTTGAATGAGTGCGTGTATGAGTGTAAGTATATACTGCATGTGTATGTATGTATTGGGGAGCGCTAGTGCAGTGGTTAGCGCGCTGCATTTACGAACCTTGCGATCTGATTTCGATTCCCGCTCATTACCAACATCAGTGACGATTATCCGAACCGGTCCTGAGCCTTCGCCAGGTCCACTCCGCCTTAAATGAGTATACCTGGTGCGGTATGTTAACATCAGCGCTGGGGAGATAAAGGCGGCCGGGTGTGGTGCTGGCCACACCACCCTCTTGCGCATCGTGCTGTATTTCACAGGGTTCTTATGAACAACACTTGCCCCACAGCAGTCCGCTAAGGCAATACTGGGTGGATCTTTGTCTCTGTATTAATATATAAACCGAGGTGAACTTGAACACGTGATAGCCAGGTGGGCGCGTGCAGGTGAGCCCCAGTGCACTGTAGACAATGACCTGGCAAGCGATGCGCACTCGAGTCTGATCATCATCAGCAGGCTCGAACACACTGCCTGTGTGTGTGTGTGCGCGTCTTACATCCATTTGTAATTACTGTTGTTCTGTGTTAATTGTTGATCGTTGAGATAGACTGGAGGAGAATACGTCAGCTCATTCGCTTTCACTCGGGATAATAGGTGCACATTTTTTTTTTTTGGTGCGGGTGGCTGAAGAGCTGTAGGCTACCGCTAGCTGCTCCCGACGACCAATTAAGACAATTAAAGCAATTAAGACTGTCATTCTGGATGAGGAGTTGCCCATGCTGTGCGGGTCGTGGGGGTTATTATTATTCGACCATTCTTCATCACGGCTGGTCGGCTCCAGTTGGTGAAGTTGGTAGCAGGCGGGCAATACAGAGACGTGGGAGCATAGGCGGTGCAGTACAACCGCGTTGTGGTCATGGAGGAGCTCTTCAAGGTGGTGGTGGTGGGAGAGGTACAGGTGGGGAAGACCTCGTTTGTGCAGAGGTACAGCCGCAACGCCTTCACGGAGAATTACCGCATGACCATGGGAGGTGAGTGGAGCATCATCATCATCAGCATCGTCATCGTAGACATCATCATCGTCGACAGCATCATCAGCAGCAATATAGTCATCATCGTAGACATCATAATCGACATCATTAGCAGCAGCATCGTCATCACCATAGACATCATCATAATCCCTTTTCCGTCACATCAGCAGCAACATCATCATCAGCAATAGCATCATCATCAGCATTAGCATCGTCATCAGCAGCATCGCCATCGTAGACATCATCATCATCCCTTTTATATCACATCATCATCATCATCATCCCTTTTATATCACATCACCATCATCATCATCACGGTGTTCATATTGACATCCGCTCCTGTCCTGCATCACAATCAGCATCTCTTTCTCATCATCTCTTCTTATTCTCATCATCACCATCACCAGCTTCTAATTATCTTTAGTAGTATTGTTAATTATTATGTATGCTGTTTGATGATTGCGTGTAGACATTGCTTACAGTAGGATGTATCATTAATTAAACATGACAGACCCCCACGTGAGTGCGGAACGTTCCAGGAATAACAATACATTTGTTATTATTCAGTCCTTTTGTCAATGCACTCACTGCTGGATGAAGCCCCCCCCCCCCTCCCCACGCTCCGTCGGTCATGGAGGTTGTTTGACCATACTTCACCACGCTGGTCAGTAGGGCTCCTTGCTGACTTGGCGGCGCCGTGGTCGGGAATCGAGTTGAGTTGGCCGGATTCTGAACGCAACGCGCGAACCACTGCGCCACCGCTCTGTTCTACAGACCAGCGGCGGCTTATCGTAGGAGCAAAAGTAGCTACATATGTAGTAGTAGCTACTACATGTGTAGTAGCTACTACTACATATGTAGTAGCTACGGGCCCCGCAGTTTCAAGGGCCCCGCGCTAAATACTTTCAAGCATTATCAATTCCGGTGCAGTGATTCTGCACTTGCTCTATTACTATAGTACTATACTGCCTTCAACTTTTATGAACGACTGGGTGTTTAAGGTTAGCGATTTGTAGTATAATCTGGCCGTATAGCAAGTGAAAAAATAACATTACTTTACTGTGCAAGTTAAAACTTAGTGTTTAATATGTATGTGTTTTTTTTTTATTTAGGGCCCCTTTATAACATGTGCTACAGGCCCCGCATTAGCTAAATCCGTCACTGTTACAGACGAGTACATGTACGGCACTTCCTTTATCGCTCCCACTGCCAGACGAAGGCTACTTAACCTGTAAATAGATCATTATTTACTGTAGGACCCTCCTGATTATGTTTCTTGAGACTCTGTGAGACTTTTCTATTAATTTTAGCCGAGTATGTCCCTTCTGGTCAGAAAGCCGGAACATATTTCCACACCCGGCACACCACGTCCAGTATTGCTCTCACGTTGGCTAAGCTGCACGGCACCTGCTTACTCCAATCTACCAACGACCCGGAACATATACATTGAGAAATGAAGCTCTGTAAAATATTACGATTATCATCATTCATATTTGCGGGCTATTACCTATTCTACTGATTATCGGATTATTTCCTTCCCCTAGTGGGAAGTGGGAGGGGTGTGCGTCTTATCATCCGGTAGGTGTACGTGTGCCACCAGATTGGTATACCTTCATTGACACCGGGCACGAGTTCGGGGTGCGTCGGAGCGATGGGAGAAATAAAACGTGCACGCATTTGCCCAGTGGGTTAGTGGTGCGTGCATTATCCACAGTGACGTCTGCGTGGTGTTCATTGTGCCCTGTTCATCTCAATTAAAACGCAGACACTCGGGCTCCGTGTAGACGAGCAGATGGCCTCACGCGAGGGTCAGTGGAGCAGAGCGCTGAGTGATCGTGCGTGGCTTTGCTCGATTCAGACCGAAACGCAGCGACAGCTCACCGACCTGGTGATAATCATCGGTGTATTTTGGTATTCGCCTTCTTGCTGTCGCCCAAGGCTACAACGAGGGTGCAACGTGTTAGTCACATACGGTTAAAGTTTAATGTTGCTTTGTGCTTTTACCCAATTAGAATTTAGACCGTACATTCGTTGACTGAACAGAAGAGCCACCCAGCTAACCAGCTACCCTTTAAACTAGTCAATAAGCCACTGAGCTACCCAACTAACTAGCCGCACAGCTACCCTTTAAACTAGTAAATACGCCACTGAGCTACCCAACTAACCAGCCATCCAGCTACCCTTTAAACTAGTAAATACGCCACTGAGCTACCCAACTAACCAGCCATTCAGCTACCCTTTCAACTTGTCAATACGCCACTGAGCTACCCAACTAACCAGCCGCACAGCTACCCTTTCAACTAGCCAATACGCCATTGAGCTACCCAACTAACCAGCCACCCAGCTACCCTTACAACTAGCCAATACGCCACTGAGCTACCCAACTAACCAGCCATCCAGCTACCCTTTCAACTAGTCAATACGCCACTAAGCTACCCAACTAACCAGCCGCACAGCTACCCTTTCAACTAGCCAATAAGCCACTGAGCTACCCAACTAACCAGCCGCACAGCTACCCTTACAAATAGCCAATACGCCACTGAGCTACCCAACTAACCAGCCGCACAGCTACCCTTACAAATAGCCAATAAGCCACTGAGCTACCCAACTAACCAGCCACCCAGCTACCCTTACAACTAATCAATACGCCACTGAGCTACCCAACTAACCAGCCGCACAGCTACCCTTACAAATAGCCAATACGCCACTGAGCTACCCAACTAACCAGCCGCACAGCTACCCTTACAACTAGTCAATACGCCACTGAGCTACCCAACTAACCAGCCGCACAGCTACCCTTTCAACTAGCCAATACGCCACTGAGCTACCCAACTAACTAGCCGCACAGCTACCCTTACAACTAGCCAATACGCCACTGAGCTACCCAACTAACCAACCACCCAGCTACCCTTTCAACTAGCCAATACGCCACTGAGCTACCCAACTAACCAGCCACCCAGCTACCCTTACAACTAGCCAATACGCCACTGAGCTACCCAACTAACTAGCCGCACAGCTACCCTTTCAACTAGCCAATACGCCACTGAGCTACCCAACTAACCAGCCACCCAGCTACCCTTTCAACTAGCCAATACGCCACTGAGCTACCCAACTAACCAGCCATCCAGCTACCCTTTCAACTAGTCAATACGCCACTGAGCTACCCATCGAAACAGTCACCTCGGCACTCAGCTACCGAGGCATCGAGCCAAAGAGCCACCCAGCTTTTCAGCCATCCATGTCTCTATATATTGTATTTTAACGACTGAATACCGCATATAACCTCGTTTCGCAGTGCTGCATCATCGCATATCTCCTACCCGCCGACTATGAATCCTAGCTACGCTCTTGGCTATGTACGTGATGTATGTGTGTGTGGTTTATTTACATTTTATAGTGGGGAGCGGGTAGCGCCACTGCGCTAGGAACTCGGCGACTCGAGTTCGATTCTCGCTCACGGCCAACACCGGTGACGATGATCTGAATTGGTCCTGGGCGTGCCCTAGGCCGGCTCAGCCTCTAATGAGTACTTGCTGGTGTGTGAACATCGCTACTAGGGATACGAATGCGGCCCGGCGTGGTGCTGGCCATCCACCCCCTCGTGTGCCGTGCCGGCCTCCATAGGTGCTCGCTAACAGCACTTGCCACAACAGTCTGTTACAAGGCTATATGGGGGATCTTTGTGTTTTTCCCTTTTTATTCCAGGTTTTGAAGTATTTTGCTGATATAAATGCTCAAGTGAAAAAACCACTTCAATGGGCTCTCATTCGTGGCCGAGGTCGCTTCTGAAAAATAGCTCTACATCTCAGTGAGCCTTACCTGGTAGAGTACAGAAGAGTTTAGTTTCCGACTTAAACAGACAAACAAAAAACATAACGACGACTCAACCCTAGCTGGAGAGGCGAGATAATGTTACAGTCTGACGTCTCGAGTTTCCAGCCAGCCACGTGGGCCTGCCCGTCTGTCAATCATTCGTGTCGCACGTGCGCGCACGAGGCCAACGCGGCCACCCACGTGGCCACCACCCGGGCCGGCCGGCCGAGCGGGCGGTGATGGCGTGTTTAATAGAGCAGAGCGGTGGCCTCTCTCTCTCTCTCTCAAGGCCATTTGAACCCCAAAAACCCGCATCCCTCCCCCGGCCTCGCTTCCTCTCATTTCACAAGAGCCATGACTCGCACCTGCAAATTCCCCGTTCCGCTATCGTCGTGTGTATGGTGTGTACGCATGCTGAGATTCGTGCGCATCGTACGTGGCCAACCGTGCTAATCGGAGGTACGGGAGGGAAAGACACCAAACTACTAAGGGGCCGTCCATAAATGACGTCACGCACCTAGGGGGGGGGGGGTCAGACATTTGTGACGATGTGTGACGAGGGGGGGGTGAGAAATGTGACGTCACATCAAAATGCGCAACTTTAAATAAATATAGACAACACGTTCTACTTAATTAAATATACTTTTTAATAAATGTTTTCTCCTACAACATCAGAGTGCAGCGCCACATTAAGCACGCACTACAATGACAATAGTTTAAAGCGATTTGAATCGCGTTTTTTTTGGGGGGGGCAGAGCTTTGTGACGTCATATTTAAGTTATTAAAGTATGTATGTGTGTGTTCTAATAACCTAAAACAGTGGTTAATCATGCATTTGGAATCAATTCGGATATATTCGATTGAAAGAAAATCGATAATTTTGCAGCTTCCCATTGGCCGCTTCTAACTCCGCCCACAGAGACACCATAGGGAGAGGCGTGGTCTCGGGGCGATCTCAGGGACGCCTCAACCAATCACAAGCCGTTGTTCCCGGGTCATTTGCATTTTGCCCTCCCGATCCAAATGGCATCGACAGGTCCTCATCCAGCAGTGGATTAACAGAAAAGGGCTGTACATGTGCTTATGTGTGTCTATGTTGGTGTGTCTGTATATTGATTGCATCTGCCAGTCATCTCAGTCAACACATGGCACCCGGGTATATTCCGTGCCCTCCTGCCAGCAGCGAACCTTCAGCACTTCACGTTGCCTCAAAGTGCACATAGCCTGGCACAAGCGCCGTGGTGACGTCACCGCCACTTAGTGGCGAATGGCGGTTGTTGTTGTAAATACTGCCCTCACCTGTGCACCCTGCTGGCTTGACAGCAATTGCCCCAACAGCCTCGGTGGTGAGATGTTATCGATCTCGCCTGGCATACAGGAGGCCGTGGGTTCGATCCCAAGCCTGACGCCTGCTGCTGTATATTTGGATCCATACTCTAGATTATATATTTGGAGTTTGCGTGTTCTGCCCGTGGTCGCGTGGACGTATTTTTCTCCGGGTCCACTGGTTTTCCCCTCCACATTTTGAAACATGCATTTAGATAATTTGGCTGCAATACGTTTCCACGTGAAAGCCACTTCGTCGAGCCATCATTTGTGGCCAATTCGCTTCTGAAAAAGAGCTACATAGCTCAGTTAGACCATACCTGGTAAAAATGTAAACATCTACTGCCCACACCTCTGCACTCTGCTCGCCTTACAGAAATTGCCCCAAGAGCATGTGTCGGCTGCACGGGGTATCATTTGTGGTTGCGTCTGTCTGTCTTGTCCGTCTGTGTGCCTCGCAGTGGACTTCGCCTACAAAGTCCTCAAGTGGACAGACACGCAGACGATTAAACTGCACCTCTGGGACGTGGCAGGTAGCGCTCCGTGTGGATGCCGAGCTACCGTTGTGCACAACCACATGCGTTTGTCAGCTGTGATTGCATGCGTGTATCATTTTAAGATTAGCATCATGGGCGAACTATTTTGTTATTTTATTTATACAGTGTTTTACAATTAAGATAATACTCTTTGGTTCTTTCGGTTAAGTCACGTAGTTAGAAATAAAGTAAAACAAATGACGACGTTTCGATCGCACCACCGCTTTACCGAAATAACCAAAGAGTATGGATTCCTGCAGTCACGAAAACTTCAAATCAAAATTAAGATAATATACTAATTAATTATATGCATCCGCGATTTCTAATGTGATGGACAAAATTAACCCCTGCCCCCCCCCCCCCAAATATAGAGGTCAAACTCCGCCTGTGATTAGAATGGTATGGCGTGTTTGGGAATTTCAAGCCAGCTGGAACACAAACGGCAACGCTATCGAGTGAGTGTTTGAGTGGATGAGAGGTTAGGTAGCTGTCAGAGTAGACAGGTGAGAAGCCGAGCGAGCGAGTGAGTGCCCGACGGAGCGTGAGTAGATGGCTGAGTGAGTGAGTGAGCGAGCGTGCGAGCAAGTTATTGAAGTGAGCCCGAGTGATCGAGTGGATGAGTGAGAGTCTATTTGAGCGAGTCGATGAGTGAATCAGTGGGTCTATGAGTGAATGAGTGAGCGAGTGGGCGAGTAAGGAAATTATTGAATGGATGAGTGGATAAGTGAGACACTTGGCGTGTTAGTGTGTGAGCGAGTGAATGGGCGAGCAGCGAGTGGATGAATGTAGAGGCTGGGTGAATGAGTGGATGGCTGATTGGTGAAGTGAGTGAGTGAGCAAGCAAGCGAGTGACCGAATGGACGAGTGGATAAGTGAGACACTTGGCATGTGAGAGCGTGAGCGAGCGAGTGGGCAAGCAAGAAAATGAGTGAGTTGATGAACGTAGAGGCTGGGTGAATGAGTGGCTGGATGAGTGAGTGAGCACTCGAGTGGATGAGTGAGCGAGCGAGCGATGGTCGTATGAGCTATCGTCCGCCTGCTCGCCAATCGCCTGGACCTGTCGTGCCGCACGAACGAGAGAGCGACAGAGAGACGCAGCTACCAGGCCCCATACCTCACACCGTGCCCCCCCCCCCCCTTCGCACGGCAGGCCAGGAACGATACATGAGCGCCACGAAGCAGTTCTACCGCGGGGCCTCGGGCTGCGTGGTCATCTACGACCTCACGTCGCGTCATTCGTTCAACAGGGCGCTCCTCTGGAAGGAGAGCATCGACGCGCACGCCAGCCTGCCCGACGGCAGCCCCGTGCCGTGCCTGCTCCTGGCGAACAAGGTAACGGCGCGCACGCCGCCACCACGTCGAGGCAGCCCGCTGTGCCGACGCACGCGGAGCTCGCGAAACGAACGGCTACCATCGCTCAGAGCCCAATCCCTCCCAATAGGTGGGCTCACTTCGTTTGGCCGTACACAGAAAACTTGAGGCGTTGTGCGATTTAACCACGTGTGCACCTCGGCCGGCGTTTTGTGCTGTGATCCGCGTGTTTTTTTTTTCTCGGTGTAATTTCCAGCATGCATTTCTCTGTGATTTGTGTATTTTTGTGTGAGCTTTTCAGCTTTTGTTCCATTGTATTTGTCAGCGTTACTTGTGGGCAAATAGTTACATGGTTTTTCTTAAGATAAAATCCAACTTTCTGAAAGTAGGTTAGTCAGAAATCCATAAAGCCTGCATTATGGATTTCTGAAAGTACTCTGACTGCCCTTTTGTCAATCCACTGCTGGATGAAGGCCTCGCCAAGCCGTGTCGGTCGCGACACAGGTTGCTAAAGGAAAGGGGCCCAGGACCGGCTCAAATATCGCTGGACACCGATGTTAGCCGTGTCCGGGAATCGAACTCAACTTGCCGTGTTTAGCGCAATCCTCCACGCACCGCTCCACCAATCCATCCCAACGAGACCTTTTCCTTCAGCAAATCTGAGAGGGAGAATGTAATCTCCAGTTGTGACCTAATGCCTGTATTTCTGCAGTCGTCCATCTCATTTTGCCTATTCCTCTTCCGATTGGTACGCTTCTTGATGTAAAACCTCAGCGTTGATGTTCCGTCTTTATTAATGGGTTTGATAACTTCCATACATCTTTTAAGAAGCCCTTGGGCCACAAGGGCGGGAATTACTTTATTTTCAGCCTCCAATGAATCAAACGCCTTTTCATAACCTACAAAGGCCAGGCATAGCGGTATTTGATATTGATTTGTAGTTTCAAGAATCTGATTGATAGTGTGTATGTGGTCATTCGTAGGCCACGATTGTAATTTATTATACATCACTTTAAACGCATTTTTTCAAAACCCCAATTCTTTTATTCATATATTACATTTTCTTTCATGATATATCACGAAGTTATCAAGCATTGCTCATCCTAAGCTTAGTTGCTTTGTAATGTTTACAATGCATACGCAGTATATCATACATTATGCAGCTCTTTCTATTGCCAGACGACTCGAATCCTCGCAATTTAATTCCTCACCTTGTTTCAAATTGACTGTTGCCCTATTATTCAGCCTCAAATGAGTACCTGGTGCAGTGTGTGGTAAACATCGCCACTTGGCAGACAAAGGCGGCCGGGCGTGGTTCTGGCCACGCACCCCCCTCATGTCCCGTTTCGGCCTTCATAGGTGCTCGCTTACAGCGTTTCCCTCATCAGTCTGTTAAGGTTCCACGTTGTGTGGGGGGGGGGGGGGGTTACCTTTGTGTCCGACGATCAGAGTGACCTGTCGGAGCGGGAGGTGAGCGCCGCGGACATGGAGCGTGCGTGCCGTGAACACAAGTTCCTCGCGTGCAAGGAGATCTCCGTGAAGAAGAACAAGAACATTGGTGACGCAATGAGGTGCGAACACGTGCCCCCCCCCCGTACCCTCTGGGAAACGTCTTAGGCAGACAATGCTGGCTGCGAACCTCACTCTCACTTTGTCGCTAAGATACAAATTTAATATTTTACTGGGTAAGGCTCACTGAGCTATGCAGCTCTTTTTCAAAAGCGACCTGGCGAGCACAAATTGTAGCTCAACGAAGTGGGATTACTTGGAAATTCATAGCAGCCAAATACTCTAAACGGATGTTTCTAAATGCGGAGGGAAAAACCGGAGGATCTGGAGAAAAATCCACGCGACCACGGGGAGAACATGCAAACTCCAAACATGCAGGCCTCAGAGTCGGAATCGAACCCACGACCTCTTGTCTACCAGGCGAGGTAGTGAACATCTCGCCACCGTGGCGCCCGACAACTTTGCCGCCGCTATTGTCACATAACGCTTTCCAACTCGGATCGAAAGCGTTAAAAGCCACTTAACTTCTGGCTGGTGTTTTGACTGTGGGAAGTTGCGTGCAAATCGTATTCGCTAAATAAATAACAAAAATGTATAAAGTTATGATGCTGTTAGGGGCCAATGCCATTAAAAACTGGCCATATTGATTACCGTTGGTGGAAGTCTGCAGGAAAAGTATTGAATATAATAGGCTGTTTTTGGGCAATTGCCCTTCATGATAGCATATACACAGTGATTTAAAATGTTTAGGTGCAATACTGGCCCCATAGAGACCAAGCTTCACTGCAGGCGGGTGAATGGAGCTGCGTGGAATTCCCGATGCATTGTGTTTGGTTTGTCATCCTTCCCCCGAACCTCCGATTAGAACAGTTGGCTGGCTACGTACGGTGCGAAAGAAGTCGAACATCCCTCCATACAATCTCTTGAGTTTTGGTTTATTTGTACTTTTTGCACCAATGGCAACAAAGCAGCGCCGGCAAATAATTAGAGCAACGAGGGCTCGTAATTTTTTTTTTTTAAACGTTGTACTCAGATTGTAAATGTTGTGCATTTGCGCTCCAACACAACGGTGTGCTGTACTAGTAACCAATTAGCATGTTCTATTCATGTGACAAACCTTACTAATTAGCTGTGTTAGGTGGTGGGTTTAACGACACATATTAACGCGATCTAACCCAAAAAAAACTGTATTATGGATACAAAGGCATGTTTCCCTGACAGCGACCTGTCGGATTGTATACTATACCAATTGAATACTCATCTAAAGACAAATGCATGATTGCAAGCGTGACACAATGCACGCGTATGCATGATTTCTTTTTATTACTGCCTGGTTATTACAATGCCCATCCACCGTCTCTGTTGCCGGCAGGTGTCTGGTGGAGGCGATGATGGGATGGGTGGCCAAGAACTCCTCGCAGAGCTTGGAGCAGGACAATGTTCAGCTTAACGACGAGAAGGCCTCTTGGTCGTGCTGCAGATGAATGCACCGCGACGTCCTCGAACTTCTGGGTCCTAACTCAAACACTCACGCCATTGGCTGGCTCCCCGCTCCCTCCTGAGGACTTGCGCTCATCTCTTGTGTGCGTCACACCGGCTGCTGCTGTTGCTGCTGCCTGGTGCTGCACAACACCACTGCACACACACACACGACTCGCGAGTGAGAGCAAGTTCTAAGATGAGAGGGGGGCAGGCAGGTCGGAGGACTGGACGCTGGGATTTAAGAGGCGCACCGAGCGAGGAGCGTAACTGCTTTTTGTGTTTAGTTTGTTGTCCTTCCCCCGCACCTCCGATTAGCACGGTTGGCTACTTACGGTTCGAAAGAAGTTCAACACACACACGTGGTTGTCATTGAGCCCTGGTGCGAGGAATGAAACGGGGCCACCCCCTGTACGATCCAACCCCTTCCCCCATTCGCCCCTCATTATCGGCTCGGAAGGGAAGATCGTTGGAGATAGGGTGGTAGGGAACATCCAAGGACAAAGTCCATGTTGAATGTACTAAACCTTCTTTAACACTGCTCGAGCATTGGAACATGAGTGAAATAGATGTAACCAACGATGTAGATAATTAAGGCATTTGGCCACGCTTTACCATGGCTTGCTTTGGCTAGTGACAAAAACCAAACCGAATGTTCCTGCCTCTCTGCCTTACGTAACTTACACAATGTGTGAATCAGAACCAGGGGCAGACTTCTCGTTCTTGGCTACCAACACCAATACCCGCCATTCGCCACGAAGGCCCGGTGGACTTTGAGGCCACGTGAAGTGTCGAAGGCTCGCTGACAGGAGGTCACGGGTCAGAGCCGGGCACACACCAAGGGCGGCCGAATGAGGAACAGGAGGAGCCTGTGCTCCGCGATGACGTCATTGCGTCTGAACCGCGTAAATATAAATGTGTCACGTAAACAAAACACGCCAATTCGTTACTAGTTTAATGACAGAAGCCAATATGTAGCCTAAGGGCTATTTAAAAAAAAACAAAGGTCTGCGACTGGTAGAAAGGGGCCTCCACGGTGATTGGTCGGGAGGCAGACTTTGAAAGGGATTGGAGGAATAAGATTTGAACGGGAAACAGAGAAGATCCATTATAGGGGAAGGATAGGGATTGGCTAAGAAAAAACAAGATCAAGAAGGTTCTAGAAAGGGGGCCCCGAGGAGTACAAAGGGGAGAAAGCACGAGGAGTTGGGATGTTCGAAGGAAGTTACGAGCTGAAGACAAAACGAAGCCTCGGGCCCCATTTTGTGGCTGTGTTCCAACAAAGTCGCTCTCATTACATCGTCGTCAGAGTCGCTACACTCGTACAGCACACCGGTGTGTTAGAGAGTATACCCACAACATTTCCAATTTGAGTAAGACGTTTGGCCAGTAACTACAGCTAGCATCATCAGGCGACAGCCACATTTTGCTGTCGCCTGATGATGCTAGTTGTAATTACTGGCGAAAAGGCACGGTACTCGAATTGTAAATGATGTGGGTTTACTCTCCAACACACCGGTGTAGTGTACTAGTAACGAATTGGTATGTTTGTATTACGTGACAAATCTTACTAATTTGCTATGTCAGGTGGTGGCGGATTTAGCGACACATTTACGCGATCTAACCCCCACCCCAAAAAACACCTCTATTATGGATAATATTGGTCGCGAAAGCCCACGGCGCTTTAAACCGAAAAGCCTTTTCGGCCAACGTGATGACGTCACGCACCATGCAGACGCCTTTAACGATGGCGTCTTCTTGAGCGTGACTTCATGCCCAGGTGCAGGACCCATATCAGTCTCGGTTCGCCCCCGTACTCGGAGGACGCCGTTAAAATTAATTGCTTGCAAGGTTATGGGGAGAAAATACGAGTTTTTTAACGAAGTTGAGTTGTGCGACATTTGCCGAAATAAACAGCTTAGCTGATTGTGGTATGAGATATGCTTGGGATGTAGCCATCAGACTGTAATGTGTTTGTATAGCCAGTGGAAAAACGTGTTTGAAGTGGCCTGATTTATGTTTTAGTGTCCCGATGTGCAGTCTTCAGAATTTAAATATAATGATTGAGCAGCACGTTTAACATGAAGATGATAAGAGAATCATTGAACGTATTTAAATATAATTGCGTTATCATTTTGACGAACAAAAGATAAATGGTCGCCTCCTGTCGCGTGCGATAATTGTTAGAACATCAAACGACTCGATTCTAAGTCACGACTTCTTGCGTCTGAAAGCACTTCACAATTAATTTTAAAGAACATTTCTCAATAAGGTTCAGGTGCCAATAGCCATGCACGCTCGCTGCGGTGGTGAGATGTTATCTCCCTCGCCTGGCATGCAGGAGGTCATGGGTTCATCCCGACCCTGGCTGGCGCCTGCTGTATACTTGGAGTTTGCGTCTCTCTCTCTCCCCGTGGTCGCGTGGATTTTTCTCGGGGTCCTTCGGTTTTTCCCTCCGCATTTAGAATCAACATCACGCGTTCAGAGTATTTGGTTGCTATTAATGGCCACATAAGCCACTTTCGATTTAAAGCTTTCGTGACTGCAGGGATTCATCTTCTTGGTTCTTTCGGTAAAGTCACGTAGAAGGGAAATAATAAAATAATAAAAATAAAACATAATAAAATAATTCTCACGACAGTTTCGGCCACAACGCAAGCAGCCGTCCGGCTTATGTGTCATTTTTATTATTTTATTATTTCTCTTCTACGTGACTTTACCGAAAGAACCACGGAGATAAGCCACTTTGTTGAGCTCTCATCTGTGGTCAAGTCGCTTCTGAAAAAGAGCTACACAACTGAGTGGGCATTACCTGGTAAAATAAAAACAAATAATTGTTGTAATAGTTTCGTTCATAAATGGGGCCCCCTGATCAATTATCTCCCCTCTTCAAAGCCCAGCACCCGCGCCCCTCTGGTCTGTGTGCCCCGGTGCAGTTTCACCGCCGGCGCACGAATCGAGAGCTCCACCACCGCTCTCAGGGCTGGAGTCCCTCTCCCGATCACAACTGGGTTGTCCACATTCGTGCGCAGTGAAGGATGTAGCCAAGTGTTTGATTTTCCATAGGATGTGCTGATGTGGCGCGTTTAATTTTACCCGTCCAGCTGTTCTTTGTGCCTGTTAATAAACACGCTGGGTTAAAAAAAAGTCAACAGGGGTGTCCACATCCTTTATTACAGAATTAGAATAAGACAGCCGTTTGAACTGCTGACATGTTAACATATTCCTTTAATTCTTAGGGTTTTTATGAACACCAAAAATCTTCAGTGATCTGTAACAACACTAACGGAAGTATTCGAAACAATCGCAGCCAATATGCTGGCAAACACCTGGCACTCTGTCGAACCTCAACGGGACGTGTGACGCCATCGCCACGACCGACTCACGGAGGGTCAGGAGAGATGAGACTCATGCGATGAAATCATCTCACAACCAAAAGTATGTGTGTGTGTGTCCGTCATTTCATTCGTCGAATATGGATGGTTGCCCTCGTCTAAACACATTAAAACCTTTCCGATGTGTGTTTGGGTTCTACCGCACATCGTTTGGCATGTCTGACGTTTCGCTCCACGTGATGGGTACTTGTTCGGAGACTGAATAATTCCTTGAGAAGCTAAAACAATCATCATGGGACCTCATTTGCCAGTACCAAAATATAAGAATAGGTTTTTCCCCTTTTTTCTGGCAACAAAATTGAAACCTTTTTACAAGGAATCATGTCTGCATTAACCGCAATACGTGTGGTCAGAATGCAAACAAAAACACACTGATAATATATGCATTGTCTCTGGTGTGGACCAATCAGTTTCATGGACATTGCATATATTATCAGAGTATTTTTTGTTTACATTCTGACCACAAGTATTGTGGTTAATGCAGACATGGTTCCTTGTAAAAAGGTTTCAGTTTTGTTGCCAGAAAAAAAGGGGAAAAACGCATTATAAAGCTAAACCTATTCAATTCCTAAAGCTCCCCGGACCTGGAGCAAAACGTCGGACAGCATGCAGTACTACCCGAAAATACATCGCAGAGTTAAACAGCACAACTTCGAAATCTGCGGAGGAGTCGTCTGTACAAGCCGTAGGTAGACCAGTTGATTGATGATAACACACGGCGATTTGTGGACAACAAATCCTTGACAGGAAGGCTATTTCGAATGTATAATTAATGGACAAAGTTCAGATACAAGGCTGGAACTGGATCTCTACTGTTTTATCAGTGGCCAGTGATTTTGGAAGGGGAAAAAAAACAATTCCCTGAAGCAACAACATCGTGTTTGGGCTGAAGAAAGTGGCATTTCGCTTGGCATCTCTCCTCTCTGCAGAGTGCAAACAGCCCAAGGCAAACTCGACTCGAGTCAATTACTTCCGCTACATTGGGGCGCTGTCAAAGCATTGGGTGCTCGGGGCATTGCTGCAGGTATGTGGATGGGTTTCGGTTATCGGATTTCCAGTCCATGCTGGAAAATCACCCGGCGAGGTCCCGGCTATGATTACAATAAACATATCTGCCGCTGTGCCAGCTGGATAATGAACATACAGATGGTTCTAAACCAACTAAAACGAAACTTTGTATTTTACTAGGTAAGGCCCACTGAGCTGTATAGCTCTTTTTCAGAAGCGATCTGGCCACAAATGATAGCTCAACGAAGTGGCTTATCAAGTGGAAGTTTAAATTAGCCAAATGCTCTAAAAGCACGTTGATTTTAATTGTGAAGGGAAAAATCGGCGTCAGGGTTCGGGATTGAGCCCACAGCTCCTGCAAACCGGTCGTTAACATCTCACCACCGTGGCTACCCCTCAAGGTTGGCGTTAACCTTAAATTAAATCTCTTGCCACTACAGGCGGAAGGGCCTTCACGAGACGGAGCTCAAGAAAACCCCTCCGGAGGGTGCTTTGATCTACTCTTCCACGATGGCCACACTGATGTCTTCCAAGAGGAGGGGGGTAGAGGTGTGTGTGGCCACACGCGACCCACTGATCGACCGGTGTGGTGGTGTGATTTGAGCGTGTGGGAGATAACCCCTGGGCGGTGGGGAGCCAGAGGGCATTGGCACGGGGGGGAGGGGGGGGCAATCACTCGATCGGCGGCCGAAGAGGACGGGGGGAGTGGAGGGGGTGGAGGTCGGCCCCCACAATAAACTTGCCCATTCTATCTTCCGGTGACCCCCTGTATTGCAAGCCCAATGTGCTATTACACCATGGACACATGCTTTAGGACGGTGAGAGCATTCAATTATCTTAATTGGGAGTGGCTGTTATGGGGGAGAACGGAATATTTATGCAGGGGGTTTGTTTTTAGCAATGACATGATCCATAATTTCCCTTTTGAAGCGTACACTATATCCCATGAGTGGAAAACACATATCTCTCTAAGCTTTTAAATGTAGTTTCTGTCTGTGCGTATTTTATGCAGTTTTTTCCACATTTTTTGGTTTGCAATTTTCTGAATCTCTTTATTTCAAATGCACCTTGTGTCTGGCACCTCGAGATGTACTGCGTGGGGTATAAACAATACGTCGTGACAATAACGATCTTCCCGATTACAGCAACCTTAAAGCGCCTTCGTATCAAAAACTCCACAGCGTAAACACGTGTAGTCTCCAACTCTTATTACCCACTCTCTCTACTGGCCTATTTAAGTGACAAGTAGGGCCATTGCCCGAAACGTCGTCTGTTATATTTACTTTCAAGGCCACACACACAAACACGCGCGCGGCGTTGATGTTGCAGCTGCATCCCAAGCGCGAGGGGAGCGTGGAAGACCCCAGCCGGAAGTTGTCGGCTGAGCGGAAGTTGTGGGGGTGGGGAGTGAGTGAGGCGGGGGGGATGGCGGGGGAGGGGGGATGGGTTGGGGGTGGGGGGGAGGTGGGATGACAGGGAGGGGGGATGGGTTGGGGTGGGGGTAAGGTGGGATGACGGGGGAGGGGGGTTGGGTTGGGGTGAGGGTGGGGGGGATGGTGGCGGTGGGGGGTGGTGAGAGTGGGGAGGCAGAGGGGGATGGGAGGGGCATAGGGCGGTGGAGGCGGGGTAGGGAGCAGAGGGGGAAGGGAGGGGGTAGAGGAGGTGGCGGGGGAGGGGGCGGAGGGGAGGAGGGTGGAGGGGTGGGGGGCAGAGGAGGAAGAGGGTGGGGGCAGATCGGTTTGGGGGGGGAGGAGCCTCGCGTTCCGGATGTGACACCGCGCCGGACGTGACGTACGCGGGGCTCGCGCCGACTGGCTCGCCTCGCAGCCATCTTCACCAACCAGAGGCCATCTTGAGGCAGCCAACCGCCGGCCGCTGCCGCCGAATAAGGTTTGTCGCCTCTTGACCAATGATTGTCACCGCCCGCTGCCGCCCGAGATGCTGCTGCTGTTGCTGCTGTTGCCTCTGCCGGAGCTCGGCCTCGGAGGTGGAGGCGGCAGCAGCGGCGGTGGCAAGGGCCGCGATGCTTTGTGCGGGCGCGCTCCCCGCGTGTGCTGCCAGCAGAGACAAGGGGGGGGCAAGAGCTGAGCGAGGGGCTGGCGCTGTGGCCTTAGCGGCGGTGGTGGATGTGGTGGTGGTGATGGCAGTGTCTGTTGTTGTTATTGATGGTGGTGTGGATGTGGTGATGATTGTGGTGGTGGATGTGTTGATGGTGGTGGCGTTGGCGGGAGTGATGGTGGAGGTGATGGCACTGTTGGCTGTATTTTTGGTGCTGTTTGTGATTGATGGTGGAGGTGATGGCACTGTTGCCTGTATTTTTGGTGCTGTTTGTGATTGATGGTGGAGGTGATGGCAGTGTTGCCTGTATTTTTGGTGCTGTTTGTGATTGATGGTGGAGGTGATGGCAGTGTTGCCTGTATTTTTGGTGCTGTTTGTGATTGATGGTGGAGGTGATGGCAGTGTTGCCTGTATTTTTGGTGCTGTTTGTGATTGATGGTGGAGGTGATGGCAGTGTTGGCTGTATTTTTGGTGCCTTTGTGGTGGATGGTGGTGACGGCGGTAGCGATGATGGTTGTAGTGAGTTGGTGCAAGTTGTGGATGTTAGTCGTGGTTGGTGGTGGTAACGGTGATGTTTGCACGTGGTGGTGGTGATGATGAGAACAATGAAGCCACGGTGGTTATGGAGGAGTTGATGAGTGTTGGCGAAGGCGATGCATGTGGTGGTGGCTGTAGTGATTGGCGGTGATGATTGGTGAATGTGATGCAGACGATGGGGCTCGTCTGTCGTGGCAGTGATAATGGTTAAGAGATGGTGAATTGTTGTGTAGGTGACAAGTGATAATAGGGCTGGCAATTGCAATAATGATTAATGTGGTTGTGATAGTGTTGAAGCTCATTCAGACTACGTCTTTATGCCTGACTACTGAGACGAATTCACACTGAGAAGAGCTCTTTAGTGATGGTGATGGATGCACCTTGGCGATGATTACGGTAACAGGTCTCCCTGTACTTTTATATTCAATCGTGTCTTCCCTGTGCCAAACTTAAAGACGCAGACAAAACATTGGCCGATGTAAATGATCGGACTGATTTGAGCCTGGTTATACAACGTCTATAGCTCTAAATAATATCACTGTAGAGACTTAAGAATTGCGGGATTGAAGTAGCAGTATTGTCACTGGGGAGAGTGATCGATTTGATGTTTTCCCGCCACAAAGGAATTTCAAACTCGTGTATTTGCCAGCGTATACCCGTCCCCCCCTATCCCTTAAATTCCTCCCACATGCAATTATCCAAACACCCCAATGCAGCACTCTCCTGGGACTCGGCGATATTTATTTGGGTAAAACAAAGCATTTATATTCTTGATTCTTTCGGTAAAGTCACGTAGAAGGGAAATGATAAAATAATAAAATATAAAACAATAAAAATTGCCACGACGTTTCGACTGCACAGGAAGAAAAAATTCTTGTGTGGATTTCACACCTGATGATTATTGTGTTGCAGTCGAAACGTGAGAATTTTTATTTTATTATTTCCCTTTTACGATGACTTTACCGAAAGAACCACGAATATGAATCCCTGCAGTCACGAAAGCTTTAAATCAAAATTCAAAAGGGCATTGTTCACTGAATTAGAGCCCCCTTTGGTCTTGATGGTCGCTGAGGCTTGGCACATCGGACACAGATTGACTTGAGTATTTTGCATGTTCAAATTTTTTGTTGCTGACACGATTAGAACTATTAGTTTTATGAGTTACCTTCAGTAACAATGATCACGAATGCGTAATCCCCAACACTGGCTCATGGATGTAAACTTAACTATGTGTTACTTCCC